ATTTCTTTCAGCTCGAGGCCCCCACGGCCCCCATCCTCCTCGTCCGCCCCGCCCCGCCACCCCGCCCCCGACCAGCTGCCCAGAAACCGCCCAGCGTGGCGGTGCACACGCGGCACGACGAGCACTTCCCAGTTCCTTCCACGGCTTATTAAGAATCCGCTGGACCCGCCCCCGCTTCCGCAGCTTCCGCAATAGTGCGTGGCTCAGCGCGCATCACGATAGGTACCCGGCCTTGCTACGCGGCCTGCCTATCCTCTTACCCATTCGAGACCATCCCGCTCGATCCCTGTGCTCGCCACGTCCGTGCTCCCTGCGTTGGGCGAGACAAAGAATTCCATATCTGAAAGCAGCTGTTTGTCTTGATCTTGAGGCCGACTGCCGGCTTACCTAGGTAGCCATGACACGTTGCTCGCGCCGCAGCCCCGGCCAGAGCAAGCACATGCTGATTCCTCTCCCGTGCCCCACGTGGCTGACAGGAGGGACCAACGGCCCGCCAATCCCACGAGACACAGCCTGACAGGCAATCTGAGGCCAGCTTCGTGTCGTATCTCTCTACTCCTACTCTACTTCGTAAACGATGACCTGGCGCTACAAGATGGCATCTGCTTTGCCACGAGGACCTTCCCTCTGACCGGTACCAGTACATTTGTTCCAGCAGATAATACGGACGTGGGACAAACCGGGTGCCCGGCAAGCATATCTCACACTGGACGCCAAAACCAGTAAGAGAGTTCGGAGTTCGGAATGTCGCGCATACAAATAGAAATACTCGGGAATCCTCGTCTGGTCCAATTACGGCCAGCGTATTGTCTTCGAAGTGAAAGCCTGGTACCGTATCCGTCCGCATTCCACTCGTATTGTTAAAGCCATCCCATCGTACAGAAGTCAGCAACCGGTCCGTTACGTCTAGCGTGTGCACGACGAAGCATGCTCGTAAGCTCGGTGCTTCTAATCGCGGACTAGAGTCGGATGCTGTGTGCTCGAGCACAAAGAAAAACAGAAACCCCCGGGAAATGCAAAGTGTTGTGTGCTAGCGAATGCTGCAGCTCTAAATTCCACCGCTAGTGGCGACATTGCCGGAAGAACAATGGCAAGGAAAAAACAAAGCCTTCTTCCCAACGCCTGCGCCATGCCATGCCCAAGCCGTGAGTGGAGTATCTTAAGTACAAATCCCAATCCTTTTACGCCCGTCGTTTGAAATCAAATAACACAAGTGTTGAAATTACCGTTCCGATTCAGTAACGGCACTCAGATGATCTCCTCCCTCTCCCAGCCGGTAGCCTTCAAGTACTGGATGCCCTTGCCGGGATGCGGCTTCGTCTTGTCCTTGTACTCGGCAACGAAGGGGTTCGGGTCGTTCTTCTGGTCCAAGTTTCCAAGCGTGTGGTTGACCTCGCGGTGCTTAGCCTCGTCAGCGCGGATGTACATGAGCAGGTCGCGCATGGAGCGGTGGCCCTCGGGCATCTTCCAGTAGTCGACGGCGATGTCGGGCGCCTGCATCTTCTCCCACTTGGGCAAGAGGCCGGCGTCGAGGTCCTCGATCTCGCGCGTGTACGTCAGCACTGCCTCCTCTTCCAGGTATCCGATGAAGCGGTGCGTGGTGCGTGGCGACATCAGGTACGAGATGAACAGGGCGTTGAAGAAGACGCCTTGCGCGCCGAGTACCATCACGCGCATGAACCAGCCCGGCTCGGCCATCTTGAGGAAGGTGAGGAGGTGCATGCGCTCGTTGTAGGATTCCTCGAGAAGGGTCTCGATCCTGTGGCAAAGAAACCATGTTAGTCAATTAATGCTAAACAACGGGTAGTGCAGGATCCTACAGAGAGCGTGACGAAGAAGACCTTGCCACACACCCCAGGTCCGGCGAGCCAGTGAGCACTTACCATCCGTTGTCACGCTTCATGCGGCGCATACTGTGCAAGTGGCGCAGGACACCGGCGACCATGCCCGGAACGCCGGCCACGCTCTCAAGGAAGACGTTGCGGACCATGTACTTGCGCTCCGTCATATGGAAAGGCTTGTCGGGCGTGCCGTGGCGATAACCGGACGCCAGATCAAGTCCCCAGCGCAGGATGCGCACCATGGTCATCGCGACATAGTCGGACCAGTTACGCATGTCACGGTGCGCCACCGTGACCGCCTTCATCTGCTCCGGCGTGTAGCTGTGGAGACGGGAAGAGTCAGCTGCCTGGGCGCTTTCCGGGACAGGGGACCGGCCCGAGACGGACCAGGGGTAGGTAAAAGACTTACATCGGATGCGCCCATGCGGCCTCCGTCTTGCGGACCTTGTCCGTCTCCTTCTCCGGGAAGAACTCGCGGATCTGTGTCTGCGGCGTCGCGGAGAAGTGGCGCTTGCTTGTCGTCCAGGGCTGCTGCTGGATGGCGATGAGGCCTGGGCGATGGGTCACTACGGTGACGGCCGACCGAGACAGGCCATTGAGGGCCTTGAGTGCCTGGGCGGCGGGGCGGGCCGAGTAGGTGCTTGCTACTCTCGTTGTGTACATCTGGTAGAAGTGTGTATGTAAAAGAAGAAGTGTTTTGTGGAAAGTGGAAATGGAGAATTCAATGGAGAATTCGGTTGGAAGGTGGATGGAGAGGTAGTGGCTTTGCCTTTGTTGTGGATGTGGGACAAGGAAAAAAGGATGCCTTGGGTCGAAGGAAATTTATACATGGCATTGATGAGGGTGAAAGACACTATGACGGTGCACGAGGCCAGCCGTTCAATCACCAACCTAGGGGAGCACGAAGACAATCCGGCTGGGCTCCTACTCAGTCACCGCCGCAGCTCCTAAAGGTGTGCGGCATTGGCGCACAGGCTGCCGTTGGCATGCGGCAGCGCCTTCGCAAGCCGAGTCATCTTTAGAAACGGGGTGCTGATCTGGGCCATAAGGCTGAGGGCGGGATTCACGCGTTGGCGAGGCTAGCCGAGAGCGGCTAGGGGGCCGCCCGAAGTGGTTGAGCCTGAGAAAATGAACCGGGAGGGGTCCCTTCGCTCGGCGTTCGCGGAATCGCGGCACAGCAGCGAGCTTTTGGAGTCGGCCATGTCGCGGCCGGTGCTGCGGCTGATGAGCCCTCCCGCCCTCAACTTGAGGCGCCTCTGCGCTTGCAAAACCTGCCCTCAGCGCTCAGCCCCCAGTTATTACGGTCATCTGCCCTCAAGACTTTTCCACCAATTTGCGGCCACGCCTTTGTTTGCTGCCAATGTCTTTGCCTTTCGTCAGCGCCTACATGTTGGCATTGAAGCTGGAAGTCATCTGCACTCGGGGCTGTTAATTCACTGTACGCCCCAACGTCATCCACCATGGCTGCTGGCTCCGACTTCATACTGATGCCTGGCTCTTTCGTGCAATGCAATGCGACTCATTCGAGCAGGCTAACCATCCTCTTTTCTCCGCGGCAAATGAGGGAGTTGCTGAAGTAAAACTTACTGCTCGATGATTCATTATACAACAAGTGGCGGAGCCGTGCACGTGGTCCAGATCTTTCCGGCCTCCAAATCCTCAATGGCAGGAATATCGTATCCACTCTTGCTTCGTACCGGGGATGCGCTCTTTTGTCCTCTTCCGTGCCTTTCCAAATTATTTTCTAGCGTGTCGGATGCTGGCACGGGCAAGGGCGGAAAAGCCGCGAATTCGCTCACTATCAGTATATATAACCTAAACCTACCTCTCCTACCTAGTAACTTTGCATATCTGTTACATACAGGTAACAAGTCTCGACTCGTATTGTGCATGCCGCGGTGGACGCCTGGATGCTAGTCATGGAGGACCCTGATTTGCGTGCAGAATGACTAGTGCAGTGAATCAGTAACGTCGCAGAAGAAGTGAGTTGCTGTCCTCAGAAGCTCGGGGTGAAACAAAAGCCTAAAGCCTCCTGGGGGTTCGTGTAGCCGATGCGAATGGAAAGAGCTGAAATATGCCATAAGCTCATTTTATTTCTGGGCGATGAGCCTTCATCAAACCGGAAATATTGCTATTGTTATACCGTCGCTGTTGCAAAGGGTCACGGGTCCCCGCTTAGACTTTCAGTCAACTGAGGTTAAGTTGTTCGGTACGATGGGCATCTTGAACCATCCCTACGAGTAGTACGTAGGTTAAGCAAGTCCATGGATGCATCGTCCCGGGACGAAGGTGTACTCGAATACCGTGATATCTATTGTGGGGACGCTTTGCTGCTTGCATAGATTCTTTCGCTTGGGACGCCGTTACGCCGGACTTTAGGGTTCCAGAGTTGGTGACGAGCACAGCATTCTCGCGAGGATAGATGCGTCTTTGTGTTGCCAGAAGCAATGTCAATGGGGACGATACAGAGGCATCTTTATCAGAGCGGAGTGGTGGTAAGGAAGGGCAGGTGATGCGCTGGCCGTATTATTGCTACACCGTCCCACGGCATGCCGCTAGGGAAAGATGATCGACCAGCTGGCGGTCGAGCGGAGGGGAAATTCAGATTGCGTCGTCCACACGAGCATTCCCCACTGGCGGGCGCGGGCAAGCTGGGGGTGGTTCAAGGGTGTGCTCGCTCCACGCTCCACATGGCTTCGGACCGTTAGCGGGAGGCCTTGCTGGCGTTCTTCTTTTATGGCGGGCTGCATGCAGGCACGCATTAGAAATTGAGCGGGAGGCTCTCGAGGGGCGCGTGCTTGTCGGAATATGTAGTAGATTGTTGCTGGAGCATTGAGAAGCGGGCTGTCGAGGGCCTGGAGACGCCATGATTGACGGCGCCAGGCCCATGCTGGCGGCGGGCGCCCCTTAGCGCCATGCGCAAGAAGATCCAATCTCAACCATACCCAGCAGGACGACCACCCAGAACGCGGCCATGAATCAGATGGACTCCTATAACCCGTCCTTTTTTAATCAGCCCAATGCTCGCCAGCACTTTGTGACCACTTCGCCTGCGCATGCCCAGTCCGCCCACCACCCGCCGCCCCCGCAGTCGTTTGCCGGAAGCCAGGTCGCCACGCCTCAGCTCGCCCACCAGCAGCAGCACCAGCAGCACCAGCAGTTCAATGGCGCCGCCGCCTTCCCGCTGGCCTCGAGCATGGGTCCCGCTACCGGGCCCGGTGGGGTCATGATGCAGTCGCCGCGAGGTGAGTTGCATGCCCGCCCTTCCCCATCCGGCCTGAGCTCCTGTCTCACCCACGCCATGCTTCCTGCCGCCCACCTAGGTACTGACCGCGTCCCCAGTCCCCCAGACTCCCTACACCACCGCGTCCTTCTCCACGCCCGTCTCGGCCCCGCCCGTGTCCTCCGCCCACCACTTCGCCCAGTTTGCCAAGACCGTCAGCCCGCCCCGTCACGTCTCGCCGTATGCCACTCCCCAGAACCAGCCGCAGCATCAGCAAAGCTTCTCGCCGCCCGACCCGTCGCCCTCCATGGCCGCCCCGGTGAACCTCCAGCCTCAGGCCCAGCCCAAGGCACAGACTCCCGCTAAGCCAGTCGCACAAGCCGTACCCGCCTCGCCGGGCGCCCACGCCAACCAGTCCAAGGAGCGCGAGCGGGTGACGTTGCTGCTCGACATCAACCGTGAGCTGCTGCAGGAGATCCTCAAGCTCCAGGAACAAGGCAAGGGCGGCTTTGTCGGCCAGCCGCCGCCGAACCCAGACGGGTCCGCGCCCGACGCCGGTAACAAGGTGGCGTCCAAGGAATACATTGAGTGAGTGCCGCCCATCCATTCGTCGCCCTGGCCGCATGCTAATTGCTCCGTTGCACAGCTGCATGCGCCGTTTGCAATCCAACCTGTCTTACCTCGCCTCTACCGCTGAGCGTGCAACAAAGCCAAACCAACCCACGCTTCCAGGTCCGGCAATCATGGCCATCCCATCCTCACCCCCGGCCCTTAACCAGATGTACACTAAACTACAGGCCCTCTTCCCCAATTGGAAAGGCGGCCAGCCCGTCCGGCCAGCCGTTCCTGGACAGAGTCCGCAACGGCCACCAATGATGCAGTCGTCGCCGCAGCAGGTGCCCTCGCAGGGCTGAAAACCATTTCTGTAAAAAAAATCTTGGCACTCGGACGAACTTCGATGATCGTCGTAGAGCGCCTGCTATCTTCTCGATTTTCTTTTTTCTCTCTCATATCATCGTGGGTGGATACTTCTGGATTTGCATGAGGGAGCGAAATCGGTTTATGATACAAAAATTCCGTCTTTTATTTCTTTTGGTGCACTAGAGGCAAAATTCGGACAGCGAGCACAGTATGATCTTGGCGCGGCTTCGTCCTGGGTTTGCTTTCCTATTATCTCGTTTCGGTCATACCCAGACATTTCAGGCTTCAGCAGTCCGGTCTGCATGCGCTGCTCTAAGCAAACGGCAATTCCATCTGATCTGCTTTTTCTTAGCGATCTTCCCGTTTAATGCCGTGACACCCTGGTCTCCCATGACCCCTGCCGCGCGGCACGGCTGCACACGCTTTATCGCCACCAAGGTTCGCAGGAATCGCACCGGCTGGTTGGCTGCGGCTGGCCGCTGACACGATTTACTTAGCTCGGGACCGTTCCGCCTCCTGATAGGCCATGCCAGGATGCGTGCAAACAACACGGCGCCACGGCTTTTCTACCTTACTAGCCAGGTATTGGGGTTAAAGGCTCACAGGAACCAATTAACTCGTCATGCTTACTGTTGCATTTTCACGATCGTATTGCACTACGCTTTATCTAGCATATAACTCGCGTCAGCGAATATGTTCCTGCAGCCTAATCAGTCCAGTCAGCGACGTTGTGTTGCGGCTCGTTATAAATCCGGAGTGGCTTGAGCTTTAAAGTATTGGTTGAAGTGCTAACTGGCTGCCAGTAGGGGGTGGTAGTGGACCGGGAGGGGGTATCCAGGGCCCTTCCAGTAGCTCTGGAGAAGTGGCTGATGCTTATCATAATGGGCGAGGGCTTGGCTCGCTGTGTGCGCGTGATTGTTCGTAATCGGTTTAGTTGGTAGACGTAAACACACCGTAGATTCCCTATACATTGGCGACTGTTGTGCTGAAATACAAACGCGCCCTGCATCTAGGACGGCCTGATGATGTTTATGCTTTTTTCCCTACTACCGAAAGCGTACGGCCTGCGCCCTCCGCCTCGATAATAAAATGCTGGAGGGATCGCTTCGTAGTGAACAGAAGAAGGTATATATCTCCGCATATTTGCGCATCAATGCATGTAACGCCCGTCTCGCACGCGCGCCACTCCGAACGCGCGCCAGCGGTCATCTTCCTTATTCTATGCCATATCCCAACGAAGAACTCCCAGCGCCTTTCTTTTCCTGAGCTCAAGCCGTCGCCGCTGCCGCCTTGTTCTTCTTCCGCTGCTTGTCCTTCTTCCTGCGACTGCGATCTCTAGGCTTCAGCGCGCTCATCCCGGCCTTGCACGTATCGGCATAACGGGCATAGAAGCCCTCGAGCGCGTCCGGCACGACAATGGTGCTCAGCTTGACCTTTTCTTTGCGGTGCTCCTTGGACTTTCCGTTGGTCGCGCGTATGATGACGGGAAGCGGCTCGGTGGGGTTGAGGTCAGTGAGCGGAGCGGATGGGGCCGTGGGCTTGGATGCGTTGCCGACAGTGGCAGGATCGTAAGTCACTGTGAGCATTGGTAAGCGTCTGGGCATTTTGGCGCGAAGCGTGGGGATAAAAAGAGTAATAGCGGGCTACATACTCCGCTTCTGTGTCAGGTAGACGGTACCGTGATCCTTCTCGCGGCGCACATCGAAGAGTTCCTTGAGACGCGCGAAGAACTGCGCAACCAGTCAGTCAGGGGAAATCGCAGGATGGAGGGAAAGAGAGGCTTGCCTCATCGTTGCTAAGGTGCTTGTCGGCCATGGTTGGTGGGCGGGAGTGTTTGATGCTAGGGCATGTTGACTCGGGCTGACGTTGCGGCAAGCGACCATCGCGCACCCAAGTCAGAAGGCGACTCGCAGGCGGTGACCCCACGGCGGGCCGAAGGGCGCGTCACCGCGATCGATAGCTAAGGTAACCATCCTGACGACGCCTCTTCACCTGCTGCTCTCCATCACTGGATCTGCCCGTGTCACGAGCCCACGCATGGCCCGCAATCTGCCAGGCTGAAGGCTGTCTTCTGCCCCGGCCCCGAGACGCCGCCGCCGTCACTCACCACAACGTCGTGACTGAGACCCGGAGCTTCACCTTTGAGCTTGAGCTCAGTCTCACTCAACCCCAACAACAACAACAAACAAACAAGCCCATCTCCACCGTTTCCGTTTCGCCCGTTTACCCTCTCTGCCTCGTCCTCAGCCTGCGCCGCTCTTTTGCTCCTCCCGAGCCTGGATCGAGGCGCCTGCCTCACCGACAGCAGCCCCACGAAATGGCCTCGAACTTCCTATCCCGTCTCCTCCCTTCCGCAGACGACGAATCTGTCTACGAACCCATGGACCAATACAACCAGCGCAGGAGGGCCGCTAGTGGCGAGGATCACGGGGGACATGCTGTGGATGAAGCGAACCTCGAGGCGCAGTTCTTCGACAACGACATAGACAACATGCTTGCCGACGGAGCGGATAGCCACATCACCACAGAGAGCACGGCTTTCCTGGGCAACAACGCTGGCCGCCGTCAGTCTCAGCCTGCCATGCCTTCTCAGAACCGACCCAAATGGATGCGCAACGCGCCGCCTCATGCTGTAGCTGCCGAGGAAGACGATGATGTGCCAGAGTCTCTCCTGCTTGGCCCAGCGGCAACCGAAAAGCCCAAGGATGATGGTCGCCGCAAGGGAGTTCCTGTATCCGGACGGTTACCCTCTCCCGTGCCCGGACCTTCTACCCGGAACACTCGCGCCAAGTGGGACATCACCAAGGCCCGACACCGGCTGCATGATGATGACGACCGTCCCGTTCCACGCCCTATACAGCGAAAGGCACCACGCGGAGGTGGTGCTATTTTCTCAGATCCAAAGGAGGAAGCTATGTGGCGTTGGGTCAATGTTCAGAACTTGGACCGATTCCTTGCCCAAGTTTATGACTATTACATTCGTCGTGGTATCTGGTCCATCATATTGACTGAAGTCCTTGAACTGTTGAGACTTGCATTTCTTGCTGGACTTTTGTTCACCCTTACATCTTGCATCCAGTACAAGCAAATCTTCCATGCGAAGTCCCTGACCGACATCGTCATTCCGAAATGCGCTCAACAAGTCCACGGCTTCAAGCTTTTTCTATTGTGGCTCTTTGCCGTCTACTGGGTATTCCGAGTTATCCAGTTGCTCAGTCGCACCCCCAGTCTTTGGCACGTTCACAATTTCTATCACCACCTCCTCGACATCCCAGATAGTGACATCCAGACCGCCTCATGGCAGCTAGTTGTCAGTAGGCTTATGGCTCTACGTGATTCTAACTTGGGTACTGCGGAGAACGTGTCAGCTGAGGTCCGCCGAACCGTTGGCGCTCATTCCAAGCAACGCATGGATGCACATGACATTGCCAACCGCCTCATGCGAAAGGATAACTTTCTGATTGCGTTGTTCAACAAAGACGTCTTGAATCTTACCGTACCTCTGCCGTTCATCGGTGAACGTCAGTTCTACTCGAGGACGATGGAAGAGCTGCTAAGAGTCTGCTTGGTTGGTTTCGTTTTCGATTCGGACGGTCAGGTTCAGCCTAGGATCCTTCAATCAAGGAACAGAAACACGATGATAGAGCTCCTAAGCCAACGGTTCAGAACCTTCGCAGTGATGAGTCTTCTGCTTGTTCCTTTCTATGCACCCTATTACCTCATATCTTACTTTCTTCGGTACTTTAGTGTGAGTAACCGATCGTCACTTTGTTGTTAACAGGACTAATCGTATCCGTAGGAGTACCGAAGCGATCCATCTCAACTAGGTTCTAGGATGTTCACGCCCCTGGCCGAATGGAAATTCCGTGAATTCAATGAACTACGCCATCTCTTTAAACGTCGCCGCAACATGGCATATCCTTTCGCCGACCGCTATCTGCAGCAGTTTCCCAAATTTAAAACGGACAAGCTTTGTAGCTTCATCAGCTTCATTCTCGGCTCAGTGATTACCATTCTCGGTATTGCGTCGCTTCTCTACCCTGAGCTGCTGGTCGAATTCGAGATCACTCCAGGACAAACGGTGTTCTTCTGGTTGGGTGTCCTTACACCTATATTTGCAATCACTCGAGGCATGGTCACGGCCCAGGAACTTGTGTTTGATCCTGAATACGCTCTTGAGCAAGTCATCAACTGCACACACTATTGCCCGGCGACATGGCGTGATCGCCTCCACACCGACGACGTCCGCAAGGAATTTACTTCGTTGTACCAGCTGCGTGTTGTGGTCTTCCTGGAAGAGATACTCAGTATGGTCCTGGCTCCGTTGGTTCTTTACACTAGCCTTCCGAAGTGCAGTGACCGCATCGTCGACTTCTTCCGCGAGTTCACTGTCCATGTGGATGGTCTTGGCCATGTTTGTTCATTTGCGGTCTTTGACTTCAAGAAGACATCAGACAACATCGCAAAGGGAGGCCAGACGCCGAACCCAGCTCATGTCGACCTCCGTCGGGAGTACTTTGCCGCAAAAGATGGAAAGTTGGATGCGTCTATTATGGGATTCATGCACGAATACGGCCAGAACCCAGACCCGCGCGGCATGTACAAGTCGAACTTCAACCTCCCGCCCGCGTTCCCACCTTTGGCTGCCTCAGTCACTGGAGTGGACGCCGGAGCAGTTGCAGCAGGTAGGGCAGCGCCCAACCAGCGCGCCACACAACGCCACAACCACCGGCGCAGCCAACTAGACGGGCACTCCTCCCCCATGCAGTCCATCCTCCTAGACGCACGCCACCAGCCCAACGTGCTGAACTCTCGCATCTCGCCCCAGCAGGCCGCCCAGACGAACTTTAGTCCTCCAAACACGCACCATGGCCAAATGGGCGAGGGCTTCTACGCCGGCCAGGCCGCTGCAAACGAGCAGCATAGCATCGACGAGTCGTGGTTCCCGCAGGGCTCTAGTGGCGATGGCGAAGACGACGATGACGCGGATGATAATGGTGGCGCGGGCATCGTGGGCCTCTTGCACCAGTTGCAGAACGCGCATGCGCAGGGGCGCGGTCCCAGCGTTTAAGCGACGCAATTGATCAACTGATCAATCAATCACTCAATCACTCAGACACGATGTGGCTGGTAGAGACGGATTGGTCTCCTTCCTGTCTGTCTGTCTGTCTGACTGTCTCTTTACCACAGGGATTCAACAGTTCAAACACAACGCGATGCGATTTTTACGGCGTAAGATGGTGGGCAGGTGGGTGGTTTAACGGGCGGGGTCAGCTACACGGATGGAGTTTCGGAAGATATCGTCTCTGCTTCCCACGGCTTTTTCTGTTTTTGTTTTTTATTTATGTATTCCTTCATCTTCTCTCGGGGACGTCATGCGGCATGCGTCGTCAGATGGGATTAGAGTGAGTGAGTGCATTGGTCGTGGTGGGCGCGGGCGCGCGCACGCACACGCACACTTCCTTCTAGATAACTAACTCTCCTGCCCTTGTATGCGGAGGCTTTTGTATAGTTGCGCTGTCTGGTTGATGAATGGATGGATGGTGGGTCGGTGGGCCGGTCCTGGGAGGCTGCTCTATGAGGAATCGTGGGCGGGGGATGGGTTCTTTGGCCATGGTAGAGTAGGTATGTATGTGGTGGCGGCTTCAGGACAGATGGCCCAGATAGACAAATGATTATTTTTTATCAACGCTGAGTTCCTTGTCTGATACCCTGTGTTTGGTAACGTCACAGATTATTTAAGGCGTTAAAGCTAGATCCCGGATAATTTGCCCACCCCTTAGTTATATGTTGAGTTAAATCTACGATACCTACAGTGTACCCCTTAGGTAGTTATAAAGGTAAAAAGATATAGGGTATAATAGTACTTTAAAAAAAAAAAAAAAGATATAACGTTAAAAATATATACGAGTTCTAGAGTATTCTTTAAGGGTATAGAGGTATAGATATATATGATTACTAGACTATCCACGAGAGTTTAAAAATAAAATATCCGAAGGGTATAAAGGTGCTTATAAGGGTATAGAGACCTAAAATTTTAAAGAGTAGAAAAAAATTATATAACTCTGTAGATGCTATCACGTGGGGTGGGCAAAATATCTTAAGGGGGTGGGCAAATTATCCGGTGCCTAAAGCTACACTCGCTTGCTTTCCTCATTACCGTCTCGTACATAGCATAGTCAGCATTAGCACCTACCTACCTAACCTGCAAGCAAACCCCTTCCCATCCCATCCAGACAAACCAAACCAAACCAACAACGCACAACTCTGCTCCCCCTCAAACCCCGCCCGAGCCACCCGTGACGCGATCGAGATTGAACGCGGCGCTGATGAGGGCGAGGTGGCTGAAGGCCTGGGGCGTGTTGCCCAGCTGCTCGCCGGAGCGGGCGATCTCCTCGGAGAACATAGCCAGGTGGTTCGAGTAGGAGAGCATGTTCTCGAAGATGTTGATGGCCTTGACGAGGTATTTCTTGTCGAAGGCGCCGGCGCGCGTCAGCGCTTCCTGTGCGTGGGGTTAGTGAGCGACGAGGGAATGGGTTTTGAGGGGGAGGAAATCGTGCGACGTACCACGAGCCAGAACGTGCACATGGAAAAGGCGCCCTCGCGGCCGCCGACGCCATCGTCGCTCTTGAGCCAGTTATAGCGGTAGACGAGCCCGGTGCTCGTGAGGCCGCCCTTCTCGGGGGGCTTTAAGATCTGGTCCAGCGTGGACAGGAAGCGCGGATCGTTGGGGGCGATGAAGAAGACCAGCGGGGCAATGAGGACGGCCGAGTCGAGGATCTCGTTTTCCTCGTAGCTCTGGATAAAGCAGTTCAGGCTTTGGTTGAAGCCGCGGCGCATGACGTCCTCGTAGATGTCGTCGCGCACGCGCAGCCATTCGTGCCGCTGATGGCACGGAAAGGCGCGCTTCTCGGCCAGCCGCTGTGCGCGGTCTAGCGCTACCCAGAGCATCATCTTCGAGTAGACGAAGTTTTGCGTGCGGCCTCGCACTTCCCAGATCGACATGTCCGTCTCTTGCCAGATCGTGCATACGTAGTCTGCTATCTCGCGCACTGAGCACCACTGGTCGTACGACACGGGCTTGCCATACTTGTTGTACAGGTAGATGCCGTCGAGCAGCTCGCCGTAGATATCTAGTTGTTTGTGGAAAGCCGCGCCGTTACCGATGCGGACGGGCCGGCTGCCGCGGTAGCCCTCGAGGTGCTCGAGCTCGATCTCCGGCAAGTCTGTATCTCCCCGAATGCTGAACATGATGGGCAACGCGCCTTCTTTCGTGCGGGAATGTCGGAAACGATCCGTCATAAACGACATGTAGGCCTCGGCCTCTTCCTTGAAGCCCATTCGTAGCAAGATGTAGATGGTGAACGAACTGTCGCGCACCCAGCTGAACCGGTAGTCCCAGTTGCGCGCCCCGCCAAAGTCTTCGGGTAAGGAGAAGGTGGGCGCCGCGACAATGGCGCCTGTCGGCTCGTATGTGAGCAGCTTTAGCAGGAGCAGGCTGCGCGACACGACTTCTCGCCATCGGCCCTTGTACTTGCTCTTGGAGATCCATGTGAACCAGAACTTTTGTGTGTCTTTCTGGATTCGATCGAGCAGGTCAGTGGTAATATGTTCAGTGGGTTCACCAAGGTCTGCCCTCGGACTATCGCGAAGGATGAAGGACACAGCTTGGCCCTCATGCAGGTGAAATGTTGCCGTGATCCCCTCTCCAAGAGATGTCTCTTCGGATTTCTTCTTGAAAAAGATTGCGGGACAGCCGTATTTAGGAGTGTCGCCACAGTCCAAGGTGGCATTTAGTTCCAGCGCGATGCCTTCAGACTTAAAGATCACCCGCTGAGGAAGCTCACCGGCTTCAATTCTTCGGTTCTCATTGATAATCTCTGTTGTATGCTTATCTCGGGCATAGTCTGCACAGAGTCAGTAAGCTGCTGGTCTGATAGCCAGTTGCCTCTACTCACTGAAAGCGGGGAACACTTCCACATCCACGTCAACATCTCCTCTGATGCATTCAACCCGACGGACGAGCCACTTTTTCAGATTGTTGGTGGTTTCAAGTGGACCATTTATCGCATTCAGCGGGGCGCCGCTGCTGACGTGTCGCAGCAAGGATTTGGTGTCGGGACGTGGGAAGAAATCAACCAGGTTGAGCACTCCTTCGTCGTGGAGATATCTCGTCTGGAGAATGTTGCTGCTGGGGAGATACTGCTGTTTTGTGGTGATATTTTTGGAGTGGGTGGGGCTAATAGTAAAGTGGCCGCCCTTGTCTTTATCCAAAAGTCTGCAAAAGACAGACGGGGAATCGAAATCTGGCCTGGATATCGTCAAACTCTAACTGAACCCGGTAGAGCCGGAAACAAAGAGGCATGACGACATACCAGCACATGAAATCCAGGCCACCGTCAGTAGCAACGAGAGCACACGTCCTCATGTTTCCGATGAGTCCATAGTGCTCAATCTAGAGGGGTCAGTCTGTCTTTGCCAAGCAAGAGTACAATGAAAAGGTACCGGCATGTAGCCCTTGTTCGCGGCACGTGCTGAGGTCGGGTCATGTTTTATCCCGTGGTCTTCTTGCGGGTCCATATTCGCTGGGGGATTCATGGATGGCAGCAAACTAACAAGAGGACGTTTTGAGGTCAAAATAAAAGCAGCCGGCCCATGGCGGTCGCGTGCCCGCTTTGTTTTAAAGTTAGAGTTCACGCTTTATTGTCAGCAAAAAGTCATGGATAAGTAAGACAGCGCTAAGGATGATGGTGGCTGTTGATAAGAAAGCTAGATCCCTGATGATGTCTTGGGTGACAAAACACCAATTGGAAGGATGGAATACATGTCGGTATCTGGGGAGCCGACGTCAGAGTGGGAGGAAGCGGACTCGTCGTGGCTGACGACAAGCTTCCCAAGATAAAGTAGACGGCGCGGGGCCCTTGCCGTTCGCAGCGGCGCGGAGTCGGGCTAGCCCGCCGCGGATTTTGAAGCATTTCATCGACGTCGGTCGAGTGACCGAAAGCCTGGGTTGCAGGGTGTCTGAAGCTTGACTCGTTAAGCTTATTCCTGAGCACTGATGGGAGCGGGGGAGCGGGGATGATGGAAGGATCGTGGATCGCTGAACGTCGTCAAGCGGCCCGATCCATACACGCGCTAGCCCGATACAGATCGGCCTTGAAAACTGCTGGTGTTCCGCGTAGGTACGCATAGAACAACTGGATCAACAAAGTTGTAATAACCTCTTGAAGCCCCTAACATGGCATCAATCAGCTCTCTGCACTCCTTGACCTTGGAGCTACCTCCGAGCTGCATAGAATTCGTTCCCGGCCATCGGGACCTATTCGTCGTGGGAACATACTATCTCGACCGAAGTGCTGATGAAGACTCGGGCGAGGTTGCAGAAGACACGGAGAAGAAGTCTCAGCAGAGAAGCGGGAGCCTATTACTCTTCCAGCTGGACGGAGATGAACCGTAAGAAATTTCCATCTTAGTTCTCTTGAATTACTCCATCTATTTCCAACTTTTTATTTCCTTGCTGTCTTTCTCAACTTACATCTCAAGATTACCTTCTTTACATATACAAACCCACAAACTAACACCCCTCAGCAAGCTCATCCGAACCCTCCCCACCCCCTTCGCCGTCTTCGACCTCCACTTCACGCCCCCCGCCCACGGCGACCCAGCCCTCCTCGGCGCCGCCTCGTCCACCGGCTCCCTAGCCCTGTACCGGGTCTCCCGCACGCAGCACCCCGAAATCCAGCACCTGCGCACCCTGCAACTCTTCCCCCAAAACTCACTGATCACCTTCTTCGCCTGGCACCCTCGGACGCCGCTCCTGGCCGGCCTGGCCCTCGCCGACGGGAGCGCGCACCTCTGCGCCCTCCCCTCGCCCGACGACCCCGCCACAGACGCGGACCCCGACCCCGAGGCTTTTACGCCCTGCCTCGCCCCCCTCCTGGCTCATGACCTCGAGGCCTGGTTCCTGACTTTCGCTCCCGCTGGCACGGCGCTCTACACCGGCGGCGACGACAGCGCGCTCAAATTCCGCAGTCTGCCCGACCCCTCTACTGTCACCGAAGCCAACAACATCACCGCCACCAGCAGTAGTAGTAGCAGGCAGCAGCTCATCGAGCTGATAGCCGACGAGCCCCCCGCCGCGCAATGGCAGGACCGCCGCATCCACGCCGCGGGCGTCACGGCCATCCTCCCCCTCGCAGGCCCCAACCTGCTCTTGACCGGCAGCTACGATGACCGTGTCCGCCTGCTGCGGGTGCCGGACCCCAGCGGCAGCAGAGGCGGGGGCGTCCGGCGGCCGGTCGTGCTCGCGGAAGCGGATCTCGGCGGCGGCGTGTGGCGCCTCAAGGACATTACGCCCGAAGCTGCAGCAGGGGGAGAGCAGCGCGAGTTCGTCGTCCTGGCGAGCTGCATGCATGCTGGTGCGCGCGTTTTGCGGCTGCGTGCTTCGTCGCCTGATGAGGGCGAGGAGTGGCAGTTTGAGGTCCTGGCTAGCTTTGAGGAGCATCAGAGCATGAATTATGGGAGCGATGTGCAGCCCCTTGCGTCTGGGGAGGAGGGCGGGCAGAGGACCGTCGTGAGCACCAGCTTCTACGACCGATTGCTTTGTGTGTGGAAGTGGTGAAGTGGCGTAACGTTGCACTTTTCTTTAAATCTATCCCCGGCATGATACGGTTGGATGCCGCGGCTCATCGTCACACATCTGAAGGGAATGTCATCCAAGGATATATTTGGACAAGAGCGGAATGTGTCCCAACCAGAAAATCATACCCTCGCTAGACAACACCACGGCGGTTTGCGCCCGTTTTTACACATTTAAACTTTAAAATGCCTTTCATACCACCAGTCCCATTACCCTCAGCAGCCACATATGCTCATGTCCACATCTATTTGCCGTTCTTCTCCTGGCCAGTCTGGCTGATGTTCAAGCCCAGGCCGCTCGCATCGAGGTACATCCTGTTGTTGCTCTTCTGCAGAATGCCGGCGACTTGCCTGGCGTTGTCGAACTCCTTCAGGTCGACGTAGCTGCGCGACTTCTTGATGGCATCACCAATGAGCTCCGCGGACCGGGCCTCACCCTGCGCGCGGACAATGGCGGCCTGCTTCTCTTGGCGGGCCTTGTCAACGACGAAGGCGGCGCGCTGGGCTTCCTGCTGCGCCACCTGCTTGGCCTCGACGGCAGCAGTGAATTCGGGCGAGAAGGCGAGGTGCTGTTGAAGTTGTTAGTCAAACTAAGCGCGCTAAATAGGCTCATGCGGTGGGCTTACCGTCAACGACACGTCGTCCAGCATGATGTTGAACCGCGCCGCTCTCCGCACCAGGTTGTCGCGCACCAGCCGACTGACATTCTCACGCTGAGTGATAAGCTGGCTGGCATTGAACTGCGCGACAACGCTCTTCAGCACCTCGTTGACAATGGAGGGCAGGACACGCTCGTCGTAGTCGGTGCCGAGTGTCCGGTAGATCTGGGGAAGGGCATCGACGCGGGGACGGGACAGGACACGGCAGGTGATGTTGACCATCTGCAAGTCCTTGGTTCCGGTAAGGGAGGCGACGTTGCGGGGCTTTGCGCGGACATCGTAGGTGATGGGCGTCTCGAACCACGGAATGCGGATGTGGGTGCCTAGGCGGGGGCATCAACTTGATGTACGGCAAGACTGAGGGAGCCCAAGGTAATACCTTCACTGTAGATTTCCTTGCCAACACCACCTATTCTCGTGTACTTGATCGCGCGGTGACCACCGTCGACTACATCATGAGTTAGCTCGGGCGGCGACTGCGTCGCAAAGGCGCATACGCACCGTTGAAAAGAGAATTGCTGGCCAGCATAACACCGCCACCAAGAAGGACGAGACCAACCAGGCCACCCAGGGCCTTTGGTGGCTGACCGCCGCCTCCGAAACGTTGGCCTGTGATCGTCAGCGCCAATGGCAAAGCAGAGCGAGGCAGCGCGATACGGACCTTGCTGCTGGGCTTGTACCAGCCTCCTTTGCAGGGCTGCCCAGGTCTCGCGCGGGTCGGACATGTTGACAAGGGAATGCTGATACCGGTGGCGGGGGTGGAGGTGCGAGAGGGCAAGAGGGAGCTCTGCGGATGTGGACGAATAGTATGGTGTTTGATCCAAGTGCATTTCCATCGGAGCTACATGACCCGGCATTTATCCGGGGCTCAAATGCCCGTGATCTCCATTGCCCCTCTCTGCTCCCATATTGCTTCGACCTCTTTGTACAGGGAAAGGCCGTGTGCCTATCGGGTTCCTCTGCATGCAAAAATAGTCGTGTCCGCAGTCGAAGAGACCAGCTCAATACAAGCTCGTCTTTCCATGTCTTGATAGAGATCAATTGCCTCCGCGCCACCAAAGAGGCAATCATCTGTATATATACATTTATGTTTTTTGCCTTGATCCGTCTGGGGAAACTCTACGCTTCTCCTACCGGTTCAACCACGCACGCGAGCAAGCCTCGATGAACCTCCTCAAGATCCTAAATTAGCACAGCAGCAGCAGCAGCAGCAGCAGCAGCAGCGTGAACAGCACGCACACCCAGAGGCTTTCCCCCCCGCGCCAGTGCGCGCGGTTCCCGAACCCGCCATCGCACCTCCACCACCCACCATGTGAACGGCGCGGCCACCACCCGCCCCCCCGGCAACCAGCTTCCCGCCTGCCCGCCATGGGCCCCGAATCCGCGACTGCAAGCGCAGCAGCGAGCATGCCCAATGCCCCCGCCGGAGCCGACGCGACGCCCTCCAGGTCCGTGCCGCCGCCGACGCAACAGAAGCGGCCGGCCATGGAGCCCAACGTGCTCAACGTCGTGCTCGGCGACCTGCTCGTCAAGCCCTGGTACCCCTCGTTCTACCCGGAGGAGCTGGTCGGCCGCAAGATCGAGCGCCTGTACGTGTGCCAATGGTGCTTCAAGTACTCGAAAGAGATAATACCCTTTCTGGGCCACACGGTGAGTGCATGGGTGGATGGATGCGCACAGAGCCTAACGCGAGAACCGCAGAAAGTGTGCCCGCTCAAGGAGGCCGCGCCGCCGGGCACGCGCATCTACGCCAAAGACAGCTACTCGATCCACGAGGTCGACGGCGAGGCGCACAAGCTGTACTCGCAGAACCTGTCGCTCTTCGCCAAGCTGTTCCTTGACACCAAGTCCGTCTTCTACGATGTCACCACCTTCCTCTACTACCTGCTCGTCAGCACACACCCCGAGACGGGCGCCCGCCAGGTCATCGGCTTCTTCAGCAAGGAGAAGATGAGTTGGGATAACAACAACCTGGCCTGCATCTTGGTTTTCCCGCCATGGCAGCGCCAAGGCCTGGGGCAGATGCTCATGGGGGTCAGCTACGAGCTCAGCAGGAAAGAGGACCGCATTGGCGGGCCAGAGAAGCGTTAGTCACACACACATACACGTACAAGCTAGAACAACTGCTTATAAGGACACACGCAGCGCTCTCAGAGCTCGGCCGCCGCGGCTACGTCGCGTACTGGTCCGCCACAATCGCGCGGCACATCCTGGGCTGCCCGGCCAAAAAGACGCTGACGCTGCGCGACATTAGCGACGCTACGTATATCATGCTGGAGGACATTGTCGCGACGCTGAAGGAGATGCACGTGCTCGAGCACCGCAAGAAGGGCACCGCCGACGCGGTCGTCAACAAAGCCCAGGTCCGGCGCTGGGTCCTCGAGAACAACGTCAGCATGGCGCCGCCCGTCGAGCGAAGGGCTTTCCAAGTAGACATGGAGCCAAAGCGCGACAGAGCCGACGACTAGGTAGTCGTCCCGCGGCTTTTGGCAGGTGTATTGATGTATGTAGGTGCTGCTGTGTTCGCGCGGTGTCAGGAGTATGGTCATCGAAATCCGGTTTGGGGTATACCCGGGGCATGAGTGTGTGCCGCTGTCCAACGCATGTATTGTGGCAGCTCAAATTTCAAAAAATGGATACCCCTCAGCTTCGCTGAGTTTTGCATCTCCCACCCGGTCGCCAATGCCTCTCAGTTAGGCATCCGTTCAAGCAGTCTTTCCCGTCCAAGCCATAAGAAATCTCCACCCCGCCCCATCCCCAACTTCAATACCGACATTATCCTCAACTGCCCCATCACAGCTTCGCCAAGGTCCTGCCATTGCGCTCCCGCATCTTCCCAGTCGCTTCGCCCTTCTTAGCACCCGCCGTAGTCCACCCATAGGGGTCCACGGCCAACGCCTCATCAACCAAGACCGTGAGCCCGAGCTTCCCTACCTCTCGGGGCGCAGTAGTAGCGCCAGCAGCACCAGTACCAGTCGTGGCGCCAGTAGTAGTAGCAGGGGCAGCAGCAGCAGCATCCAGAGCGTCCCACCGGCGCACCGAGCCCTCGAGATCAAAAACGTCAATCTCAGGGTAAGCCGCACGTCCAAGGGCGTTCGTAGACGAGCTACACGAGGCGCAGGGGCGGTCGCTGCGCGCGGTGCTGATGGTGATGTCGTGGGCGCGGCTGAGGCCGTGCGTGCATGGCTGGGCGGCGAAGGGCCAGGTCGTGGCGGTGTGGATGAGGGGCGCGAGGGCGTGGGCGCAGAGCGTGATGGTTGTGTGGTGGTGGGTGCAGGTGAAGTGCGTGTGTGCTGTGTGGCACATGGTTGGATGGTGTGTGTTTGGGTGCCGGTGATGTGGGGTTGTTTAGGGTTGTTTGGTGTTGATGGTGATGGTGATGCTGATTCTTTTCTGGTGGATTGAGAGGGATGTGGTATGAGGAGGAGTTGTTGTTGTGGTCTGTAATGTAAGTTGACAGTGGAGTTGGTTTATATATTCTAGGTGGTCGATGGGGGTAGTGAAGTGAAAGTGAGAGAAAGATCGTGATTGCCCGATTAGTATTGGATACCAGCAGCAATATTGCACTGTGTGAAAGTTAGTATTGTGTCTAATATAGGTTAAGGGAACAGGAAGTAGAATTAGGCCGCGAATAGTTTATTCACCTGGCGTGATAATTCACCTATAAGACTAAGTAATGAACTTCCTACTCTTAAATATTCTTTACAAGTACTTTTGTAGATTTGGTATATATATATATGCTATTATGCATACTACCTTTTTACCTTCATATGTTTAGCTGGCGACTACTAGATGCTGTGTAATATTTTGTTGTAACTACCTAAAGAGTACTCTGTAGTAAAGCAGATTTTACTTGATATGTAGTTGAGGGGTGGGCATTATCCGGGACTTGAGTTTGTAGTGGACAAGGGTTCTTGGGGCCAGCGATCCAGGAGCAGTTATCGAAGCAATTTATCGTAGCCATTGAGATGACCATCAATTCTCATGCAACGGAATGGCATCGTCCTCGACAGAATGAAAAATTCTAGGAACTGGAAATACGAACAAACAGAGCGATCTAGTTGACCCCATAGCCAGCGTGTATTCAGAAAACTTCAATATGCCGGAGGAAAAAAGCCGTTGCTGTCAGACTCCAGCACACCACAGTAGCCAGCACACGAACAAGACAAGAAACCACAACCCAGAACCACGCGCCGATGTTTCAGGACCACCTCGACGTAGTAGCAGGCGCCTTACCCAAGTCGACCCCGCCGTCTCGTATCACTCAGCCTGACACGTAATACCGAACTTACCAAAGCAGGGAAACAGCTGTACTGTGCTCCATGGAGAAGTGCTCTGTGCGGGTTTTGCATGGCTGGCTAGGTATGCCGACATGCTGTCGCACTTCCCCTGCAGGATCAGCAATGCATAGGCGTCACGACAGACTGCCTGGCTACCGTTGTCATCGTGCCCGCCTGCCCGCCCATTCATGCCACGTCGGACCCGCCGCCTCTTTGTTTGCCGCTTGCTTATGCGCTGTGCTCCACGACTAGCTATGAGCTGCGTTGCGCTGTTTATGCTGTAGATATAAACTTCGCCCTTAAAAAAAAAGTAAAGCTGGTGTCGCATTAAAGCATTAATTTAGCTGAGGCGAAGCCAGGTTCCAAACGTTCAACAATGAACCTATTTTGTATGCTCTTGCTCCGAGTAAGTGATTGATTGACAGTCAAAGTAGCATTCTCAATGGTCTACCCTACCTAGAAACCCACAAACTTAAAGTTTCAGCATCTTGCCCAAGTCATCCCATCTCCCCGAGCGTAAGGGATCTAGCTTCCTCAGCTCAGCCAACCACACCGTCATCTCATTATCCGACACGCTCGTGCTGTCGGGATTAACCGCCTTCAGCGCAAGCGCGCAATACAACAGCGCCTGATAAATCCACTTGCAGTCTTCAGCACCATCCATCATGTCCTTGATGCTCTCAAGCTGCTCCTCGCACGTCTCCTCCGGCAAGCTGCTACCACTATTGAGTTCGAAGCAAATGCGTGCATCAGTTGGCGTACGCAGGTCAACAGTACTCATGAGGTACGCATGATAGAACCACAGTGACTGGTCGTACGGGTCCGTGTACAGCGCGCGCTGGATAAACGCAAACTCCGCGGCGAGGAAGGCACGGCGCGCGGATGCGTCGGCGTTGCGCTCGGCCAGCAGTCGCGGGATTAGCTTACTCCGGTTGTGCCAGGCGGAGAAGTTGGACAAGTTGGTGTTGATCATCTTGGTCGTGTAGGCGAACTCGGGCTCCACCATGCTTGTCGTGCCTTTCACCTCTGCCGCTGGAAGCTGCTCGAGGTGTGCTACTACGATACGTCGGTAGCTCCAACCGTGAAAGTTGCGGCTGTCTCGGTTAAGCATTTTGCCAACAAGGCCGAGCTCTTCTTGCCAGAGGTGTCGTGCATGACTGGCTGGTAAATGCTGAGTAGATTGCTCGAGCAGCCAGAGCCTGTGGTTCCAAATCCAGTAGCATTTGGGGAATTTGAGAAGGAGAGGCACGAGAAAGCGAAGATCGTTAACGATGTGGTCTAGGATAGTCTGTTGACCCGGAGAAAGGGCAGTTGATTCGGGAGAAGATTCTGCGGACGATGGCTCTGCGAGGGCATTTCTGAACGTGTCTTGCAGGATCAGCCGGCGGTGGTTCCAGATGGTGTAGTATTCGGGATTTTGGGTAAGAAGCTTTAAGACCAGAGCCAGAGTTTCGGCAGTGTATTGCTTTTCGGACACCTTCGTGTTTACGAGTCGGACCAAGTCATTGTACTGGTCTATCTGTTGCAGCTCCTTCTGCTTAGCCTGCTCGGTGCGCTCAACGGTGGAGGCTGCTCTAGGAACGCCATGCTGTTAGGTTCCGTCAGGACAGGTGGGCACGAAGCAGGGCGTGAAGCTAGGCAAGCTCAACGCACGCTAGCCATGATGTCAGTTCGCGATGTGGTTGCGGGAGAGGTTGTAGATGGTCCAGGAGCCGTCGAACTTTCGCTGGCACGCTTCACGACGCAGCAGTTGACGTTGACGGGGATGAGGTCGTCGGTGACGGGAAGAGCGGGAACATTAGGCCGAGAGATATCCCAGATCACGTGTACATAGCTCGCTGCCGGAAGGAAGCGAGTGGTAGATGCATCATCGGGCAGTTCGATCGAGGCTGAAGCATCGGCGGCTATGGTGGCTCTGAGGACAGGTTTGGGAGGGTCACAGAATCTGAATGCCGTGAAGCAGGACGCTACCACTGCTGAAGCCAAAGCCGGTGACAGCGCTTGCATGCATGAGAGGACAAGTGAAGACGGAGACTGAAAAGTAAGATTGGTTGGGCCCTAGAGTTATGATGCTGCAGCAGACCTGCAGCACATAAAGTGCCTCTTCCAAAGTTCAGCTGGTGCGACTTCGGAAATGTTTGTCAACAAGGCGAGTCGAGGCTCCGATTCGGGCATCCAATGGACTGCCTCCGGTCACACGCATTGCAGCGCATGGTTCTTCGCCGGTGCATCCGCCATTGTCCTGCAAAATGCCTTAGAAATGTGGTAAAACAGACCGCTGGAAAGAGGCCCAGAAGGCCGGGAGACATTTGATGCGCCTGTCCTGCGATCCAGTCAGCTCCTACCTGACAATCTCCGAATGGAATGCGGAAAGATAAAATCAGAGGGCCACGACAAGGAGGCATTGGACCCTGATAGCAGGATGGTCGACCTAGAAGCGCGTGCAGCGGGTGGCTTGGACGAAGGAAGAAGAAAGCGAGAAGAAAAAGCAAAGAGCAATGGAGCGGAGAGATAGCAGAGCCATTGGCTTGTACCTGCCTCTCACTGCAGCAAGCGCCAGCCGGGGGCAGATGCATGGCATCGAGGAGGGGTTGCTGATGCAGACATGAGCAAGACGGACCACGTAGATGCCGTGTCTCCACATGAACTCATGCGGCGTGGAGGGTGGTGAATGGCGGCGAGCGGCAAGCGGCACGACTAAGGCGCACCGGCTCCGGCTCGAGCGCCCTCGGGCGCCCCCCCCGCTGGCGATGGAGATCGTGCGAAGAGGGTGTGGGCGCAGATCAGCCCGTGCGGAAGCGGGCGGGATGATGCGACGACGGTGGGTGGATGGCCACGCGCGACGGAAGGTTAGATAGGTAGAGGAGGAGGAGTTTTATGGGTGGTGATGGCCGCGCGCTAGAACGCGTGCAGACGCGTGCGAGAGAAGACGCTGTCACCAGCTGTCTAGGTGCTGTCTGTTGCTGTCTGCTGCTGTCTGTTGTCGCTTGCTGTCCCTGGACCCTTCGCCCTTGTCCCGTGCGCCGGAGCGCTAATTTAGGCCCTGATGCGCCCAGCCCGCCCGGCCCTCTCACCCTCACTGTTCCCCCAGCTCCACCACCATCACCTTCCCACTTCTCCCCCCCTCCCCCTCCACCGCAAACCACCTTTCGCCCATGGCACTGGCCTCGTAGCGCCCGCCACTCACCCGTTCGCGCCGAAGCCAACCCGTTTGGTCCGTGAGCCTCGTCGCATCCGCTCACACACTCTCTTACCCACAACAAAGAGGCTGTCGTCGCGCACCTCTCCCCCTCCCCGAGGGCCTCGACCCCTTCGGCGCACTCTCTCCGCCAAAGCGACTGTGCGCGCGCCCGACTGCCGCAAATCCGCACTCCTTCCCCCACACTCGCTGTTGATTTATTGACCCCGCGCACTCCTGGAACGGTCCTTAGCCCGGAATCGCATCGCGCCAAATTGCCCACCCCCGACACGCCCGACCCAGCAGCGTGGTCGTACACACCGTCGCGGCGCGTCCCTGTGCTTACTTCAATCAAGCGCGATCGACAAGCGCGATAAGAGCCGGCTTAGGAAACGCGTGGAAAATCTCCGCATTCTGGCGGAGATCACACCGTTGCTGGCTTGGGAATTCCCGTCTGCAAGGAGGTGGCCTCTTACGAAAGCTAACAAGCCCTTGGACCAACGTATCGCGGGCACGTTGTATGATCGACGAGCACAAACAAGGGCGACAAAACAATCTCCCACTCTTTCTTTTCCTTGCCGAGTATTTGGTATAATACTGCCGCCAGCATGCCGCCCGTTCGGCCGCACCTTTCCGTCACCCTGCCGAAGAACTTCACCTTCCACTACTCGGAGGGTGAGCTGCCCAAGACGCCCGAACCCACCGGCGTCGAGACGCCCACCGAGCCGCCTCAGATTCCCCGTCAAGCTTACCGCGTGAGGCGCCGGAGGCAGGCCCTTCCAACTTACGCTCCCACGAACTTCGAAAACGCGTCAAAGGATCTTCCGATTCCAACCATTGAGGCGCCGGAACCCGGAGACGAAGTGCCTTACGCGCCTTTCTCTGACACACCCTCGGAGCCGGAGCCCGACTTTCTTTCACCAAACCCCCCTGAAGTTCGCCTGATTTCTCCCCCGAAGACGCCCATCCATCAGATAGGCATGGACTGCAGCAGTTTTGTGGCTTCCCACAGTGACCTTGACAGCCACAGCCAGGCTGAAAGCTTCAGTCGCCCGTCTTCTGCGTGCTCCGGAATTTCCGATTCTTCCGTCTCATCTCGCGGTAGCATGGACTCATATCCTTCGTATGGTGGCAGTTGCACGACTCCAGAGAGCGAGGACGCCGATCCATTTGTCTTCCCGACTAGCAAGATCAATCAGATCCCCCCTTCTTCGCCCCTTCAAGCGTACGCGGAACGCCCAACCAAGCGCTTGAGGACGCGCAAAGACACGGTCTGGACCAGAGAGATGGACAATCATCTCTGGCTGACGTACATGATGGCTCTACAGGACCCCACTGTGACCCCGTTCAAGATGCTACCAGGCACAGTACCACCTCTCGGAATCTGCACTCGCGTTGCGCGTCAGGCAAAGAAGACATGGAAGGGAGCGCTGGCCGCCGGCCGTATCATTGGCCACCCCGACACTGGCAAGCATGCCTTCAGCGATAGTCATCCTTCAGCCACCCATGGAATCCCCAGACCTGGCCTCAAATGGCCCCGTTCCGAAGCTGCTGCAAGGGGAAGGTTGAGGATCCTTTCCAAGAAGCAGCCAATGCTTGCTGCCCACTACCAACGGCTTCTTCAGACCAGAACCCCCTCACCATTTCCTTCGTCTCCTCAGTCGAGTTCCAGCTCTGGCCCGGTGCCATTAATATCCCCTTTCCGACCTATCGAGCGTGAACCGCCGCCTACGTTCTCCACGCGCGACATGAATGTCTCTTTAGCGACGAGCACCTCTACGACTATGCAGTTTGGTAACCCCCTGCATGCGCTAGCGACCGAAGATACGCAGGGCCAAGGGTGGCGCAACCACCAGCATGCACGTTCTAATGCCCACCAGAAGAGCCAATCCCTCCAACTTGGACTTGGACTTGGCAGCCCTGTCTCCCACGACGATTCCAGCTCGTCTCTTGCATCTCCATTTGTGGGTATGTCTCGATCTTATTTCAAGCACGAGTCGTCAAAGGAAACTCCTAGACCTGTCTCACAGCCTGTAACACGACCAAGCTTGGACTCGCCCGTTGAACTGCATGCACCCGTTCCAATCACTCGGTCTTTCAAGCGAAGGGCTCATCAATACCTGGAAGACATGGTCAATGGCGAAAACCCGGAGAGAGACCAGATGGGCCAGAACTTCCTCCACGAGTTGTTTGGTGCACCGGCGGATACAAGCCATCGTCGAATCCGCAGCCGTGGCTTCAGCCTTGGTGACATGGGATCGGGAGCTAGACAGCTGTCTAACCTCTTCACGCCCCCTCCATCCTTCGACCAGGGCAGTACTGATCATGATTCACTCTTGAGTTCGAATCCGCCTACGGACGAGGCTAACATAACCACATCCACTTCAATTGATCCAAGGAGACGGCTGGGCTCGCCTTTCCAAGGCGGTGCCTCGCACACTTGGAACAACACTTTCCCCCGAGTTCTTACCCCCCGCATGTTTGAGTCGTCGGCCTCATTCGAGGAGCGCTTTGGTGGGCTTGGTGGCTAGGTTTGCCTCCTTGCATGATCGGCGTTGGGTTTGCGTGAGGGCTTTGAGATTCACACAGGCATTTGCATACGACCATGGATGGCTACGACTCTGTTTGGCGTACCGGCTTTGATGATCCGGAGGCTAGCGACTGCTGGGATTTTAAGAGGCGCGATCATGTTGATGTTCGCTCGCTAAGCACATTTGTCAATGTGCCAAACCAAGCGTACTCTAGTCTCCTGGGATCTTTTACGATGACGAGAGCGATGATTTTTTCTTCTTTTCTTCCTTGACTTTTTTTTTTTTGGTTTTCCAGGCCTTCTCTTCTCTTCTATTCGGCGGCTCTTTGTAATACATCGCGATCTCAGGATCAGCGTGCTCGATGCTGTGGCACATCGCGATCGCGCCTCAGCGTGCCAGAGACGATTCAAGTTTAGTTTTGTTTTTTGCGTAATGGGGCTGCCCATCACCACCGCTCATTTGCAACCCTTGCGTTTCCCTGTTAATTTTCGGGTTTCCTTCTTGACGAATGACATGCTACTACGATCAACGAAGGAGAAAGGGAGGCTCGCGAGTCACACGGCTGGGACACATGACTGTTTTGCTGCGTCTAGACGCGACTGGTTGGTCGCTAGGAAATCATATTCTGGATTCTCTGGGACGATTGCCTGCTTTGGCAATGTGTGTGCTTCCTTGTCGCAAGTGCCTGCACGCCCCGCCGCACGTGCGTCGACCCGCTCGATAAGGTGCCCGCCTTGTCTTAGCGGCTTGGCGTATGTTTACACAACAACCGGCCAAAACTTCCTTCCTACCTATCTACAGCTTTCACAGAACAACGACAGTCTACTAACCGCAACAGCACGCCCGGCTCGACCACTTCAATCACCTCATTGTTCTGGCCTTTTTTGCTTTTTCTCTTTGCTTTCTTTCCCGTACTTTTTGATACCCCAAACGCCGCAATGGCGGCCGGCGACCTCATCAACTTCGACGAGCTCGAACCACACAAGGAGAATGTCCAGAGGGTGCAACGTGGACGCTCCGCGAAAGCTCTAGCCTCCATTCTTTCGCCTAAGTCTGCCGATGGCCAGCTGAAAGTCATTCCCTCCGACCAGGAAAAGTTCAACAACGTCAAGCGGCAAGAATTCGAGAAGGAACTCGAGGCCATCGACGAATCCGACGACCCACTCGATACATACGACCGCTATGTCAAGTGGACTCTCGAGACATACCCTCAACCTACTTCCTCCCAGTCGCAACTGCTGCCGCTCCTCGAAACGGCAACCAAGGCCTTCCTCAAGTCTCCACACTACAAGGATGACCCGCGTTATCTGAAGCTGTGGCTTCACTACATCAAACTCTTTTCAGACGAGCCGCGTCAGAATTTTGCTTTCCTTGCGCGCAACAATATCGGCGAAAGCCTTGCGCTCTTCTACGAAGAGTTTGCTGCCTACCTTGAGACACAGAACCGATGGAACCAGGCGGAAGAAGTATACTCATTGGGTGTGGACAAGCAGGCGCGACCCGCTGAGCGTCTGCTGCGCAAGTACGGCGAGTTCCAGCAAAGAATGGAAGCCCGCCCAGAGGATGCCAATGGACCATCCAGCCCCGCACTTCCCGTGGTGAGGGCTGTTTTGGCCCAGAAGGTGGACCCGTTCGCAGCATCCGGTTCTGGTCCAGTTGATCCGCAGGCCGGTAGGGCATCAGGTGCCGCACCCAAGGCGAAGTCCGGCAAGGCCAAAATGGCCATATTTTCTGATGCGGAACAACCCAAGCAGTCAGTTTTGGGAGGCCCTAGTAGGAAGAACGAAACCATGCAGTCGATGGCAGACCGCAAGAAGGAGAACAAACAAGAGGCACAATCATGGGCAGGACAGAAACTGAACGGAGGGAAGAGAAACGTTGGTGTGGAGAAGCTGATGATTTTCAAGGACAAGGTAAGTTACGCGCTCCTGCGACCCCCTCAATTTCTCATATTTACGATCACCAGGACTAATTATTGGGCTGCGCACCTGCGCATTTTTTTGTATATACAGTCCCAATTACTATCGCAAGCCTCAGAGAAGAATGCTCTACGTGATTCCCAACAAACCATTAACCCGAAAACCGGCAATATTGAGCGGGTCTTCGTGAACCTGGAGGCAGTATATCCCAATCCAGATGATCTAACTGTTGAAGAGTACTGTTTTGAAGAGCTCAGGGCAGCTCATCGCGGTTGGATGAGCTGCGATTGGGCAGCGGTCAATAGGGAAGCGGCAGCGAAGAAACAGCAACAAGAACGACCAAAGAAGGAAGAGAGGAAAGTCTTGAAGCCGAAGGATAACCAGCAGACAGAGCCGCCCGCGACACTTACAAAGGATCTTAAGAAGCCGACTGTTGTACCGCTGAATGATGCCAATGATGAAAATGCACCACCATCGCAAGAGGAAATTCAACGCGCGAAGATGTTGAAGAAACAACGCAAGGAAGCGCGTGAAAATAGAACCAGAAAGATCAAGGTCATGGAAGTCGAGGTTCGCGACCAGACGCAGACCAGTAAGCAGAAAAACCCTTGCATTCGTGGCCTTACATCAAGCTAATTTTGTTTAGTCCAAACGAACTTGGGGACCCCAACGAAGCCTAAGATCAAAAAGAAGAAGGGTGGTGCCGAACCGACAATGACTTTTCACACGAAGGAGGCCATGGATGAAATCTATGGCATCTTCAACGCACCTCTGAAATCCCAACAAGAAGTCGCAGAGGATGATGAAAGCGAAGAAGACAGCGACGATGACGAGGACGATGACGATGATGGGTACACGACCGGTGGTGAGAGCACCTGCACTGGTAGGTTTTCTGGAACGAACAGTGAATACGGCGACGAAACCACTCAAGGTGATCTCACGGAGGTGAGGAGTAGTGTGGACGAGGATACAACAAGTGCAAGCGGTGCGAGCGAATGGTCAGAATTCATCGAGAGTAGACACGTCCCAAAGGATGAGTCAACCAGCGAGGAAGATGACGAGGAAGACGACGAGAATGCGGAGAAGACAGTCAAGTCGACTTTCAAGGTACACGAGGACGAGGGTTATGGGGGTTCGCAGGAGCCCGAGCTGGTGACGACCCCAACATCTCCAGCATTTAAGCCGTTGCCAACACGATACGTGCCACTTCCACCGGAAGATGTTGAGGTTCCCACTCGGCCATATCGCGACCAGGTGCAGATGGCGAACAATCGTCTGCCGTTCATGACGCCAATCGTTGAGAAGACCGAATCATCCCTTGGTGCAGCAACAGTGTTAGCTGAGCAGCAGAAGGACTACTTCAATGCGAAGACGCCTAGCCGACACACTGGCGGTAAGACGCCGGTGATTCTAGAGGATGACGATGAGCCTTTAAGCAGCCCGTTCCAGAATATTCTGGAGGAGGTGATGAAGGAGAATGGCGGGAAGGTTCCTCAACCTGCCTTACCAAAACCGCAACAAAAGGCAAAGGTTCCCCTGGGCGTTTCCAAAGCAAGCGCTGCATTGGCCAAGGCAACTGAGGGCGATGTCAAGCCCAAAGGGCCCATCGTCCACGATACGCAGTGCAACCCAGTTGATGAGCACATCCGACAGACGATCTTGGAAAACGCCTATCCTCCAATTACATCCTACGACGGCTATCACACTGCTGATCAATCTTATGGCAAACATGCGGAGATCAAAAAGTACACAAAGGCAGTCTCCAAAGCAGGCAAAAACGGGGCCGAAAAGACGGCTGGCTTGGGTTCTCCACTTTCCTTGAAGTTTGAGAACGCGAACAGAGAGTACATCATCAAGCGGCAGTTGGGTGAAGGGGCTTTCGCGCCCGTCTACCTAGCGGAAAGCAAGCCTCTAGATGAGGATGATGCGGAGAATGCTCCTGCGCAGATGGGCAAAGGTGCGTTTGGACTTGCGCGCAAGCCGTTCGAAGCGATAAAAATGGAGGATCCGCCATCGGCATGGGAGTTTTACATGCTGCGACAGGCGCATAGGCGACTGGGCGTGTCACGGGCGGCCCAATCTATTATCCACGCTTACGAGATGCGCATGTTCAGCGACGAGTGTTACCTGGTACTCGAGTATCGGGATCAGGGCACGCTGCTGGACCTTGTCAACGTAGCACGAGCTGAGGTGACTAGCGGTGGGCCAGGTGTCATGGACGAACAGCTAGCCATGTTCTTTAGCGTCGAGCTGCTGCGCACTGTCGAGGCACTGCACTCCAAGGGCGTCATTCACGGCGACCTCAAGGCCGACAATGTTCTGGTACGCTTCGACAACGAGGAACACGGCTGGAGCGCGCAGTACCGACGCGACGGCGGCGAGGGGTGGAGTGCAAAGGGCATTTCACTAATCGATCTTGGCCGGGGCATCGACCTGCGCGCCTTCCGGCCCGACGTGCAGTTCGTGGCCGACTGGAAGACGAGCGAAGCCGACTGCGCCGAGATGCGCGAAATGCGACCGTGGACCTTCCAGGTCGACTATCACGGGCTCGCAGCCATCATTCACAGCTTGCTGTTCGGAAAGTATATGGAGACGGTGGCTGAGCGCGGCGGTGCCGCACTGGGCGCCGGCGCCACCAAGACGTACCGCGTGCGCGAGGGCCTTAAGCGGTATTGGCAGACGGACATCTGGACCGAGTGTTTCGGCCTCCTCCTCAACCCGTTGCGCCACCTCGAGGGTGAAGAGGGCACGCGCATGCCCGTGCTCAAGGGCATGCGGCGCGTGCGCGAACGCATGGAGGATTACCTCGAGCAGAATTGCGAGAGGGGCGTGGGCTTGAAGGCACTGGTTCGGAGGATGGAGGAGAGGGTGACAGCACGGAAAGGAAGGACAGGGTGATTGTTAAAGGGGGGGCGAGGATAACGGGCTTGCGCTGGCATTTTTTTGCTTTGTTGCTTTGGTTTACAAATACTTGATTGGGGCACAGGGCTGGGTCCGGGTTGGCATGGCGTTTGATAGGATCAGTAGAGGCAGGAACAAGCGTGGATTCCTTGATTTGACGAGAGAAGGCTGAGAAATCTCGGGTATTCGGGGGGGTCGTGGGGATCTTCACGACGCGAGACCCTGTCGGAGAGTCGGAAGCAGCCGCTGGACAAGAGAGGTGGAGCACGGTGACGACGAAATGGTCTGCTTTCCCACCCCGGGGGATGCGACGGGGCCAGGTGTGATGGGCCACGTGGAACATGCGATAGATGTGTAATATTGTGGTAGCTGTTCGTACGCTCCGAGTCGAACAAAGTGCCTAGTTAGTTGTAGAGTAGAGCCGCAGCTTAATAGAGTAAGTTACCAGGCGTATGCACCATGCAGGGCGAGCGGGAGCCGCCGAGGGGCGCGCGCGAGTAAGGCGACTAAGGCCCCACATGTGGCGCATGACTCGCGCGGACAACGGACTCCGGGTCGTTGGCTGGAACGCTGACTTTGTTTCCTGGTGTGTGATGTCATATTTTTTGCCAAGACTGCGATCCAGAGCGCAACTGTGAGATCCCCAGCTCACGCTTCGTTTTCTGCCGGACTCTCAGCTCCACCACCAGTTGCACCTGTCGTCTGCTGAATCGCCGATGTACTCTTACAGACGTGCGACCTTGCGTCAAACGTCCGCATGCGTGCTCTGAGCCCGGGGTCTAGCCAAGTGATCGGCCCCTGCCCAGGCCCTTGCTCATCGCCCCCGATCGCTAGCACCCTGGCTAGGTCTGTAGAGATCGAAGTTCACTGCTGCCCATCACCGCACCCACAAGCCAACAATAACCTTCACCAACCATGCGCGCGGAGTCGCCTCGTCTGCGCGCTTGCGCCACCTGCTCTGCAAAACAGCCCGCTCTCCTCTGCGCTCCGTCCGCCTTCTCTACCGCTCCAGCGACTCTCTTGCCCCATTGTCTTTGCCTACAACGGTACAATCACCCGCCGTCGATACCGCTGCCGCCGCCGCCGTCACTACTCTCCTTGCTCACGCCAGCCGCGCTTTTTGCTGCTCTTTGCCGATTGGCCACCCATGGCGGATCCGGGTCATCACTTCTAAAAACGCGTCTTGATTCCAGCCGACTGGACCATCGTCGTCGAGCGTGGGGTCCCTTCTGTCCCTCATGACCCAACAACACTCCCAAGGCGGGACCGCAGGCGGTCACCCGCGAAGACCGCCCGCTCACAGATCAGTCTCGCTGCTCCACTCCCCGGGCAAGCGCAAGTTCGGCGAGGAGTCGACTCTCTCTCATGCTTCCTCCAACATCCCTTCCAGCGATCGGGCCAACCCACCCTCGCCAGGCTCGTCGAAACCTCGAGTCAAGAAGGATAGCTCCGGCGAGGTCAGTGATGCCGGCCAATGGTTCGACAAGTCAAACAAGAATGTCTCTCAGAACAGTGCTTCCTTCGTCGACAGTAAGCGCTTCGTGGCTACGGGGTTTTACGTAGACCACCGCTGATATTTCTAGATGACCCTCCCTTCTTCCTGCGCAATTCATCCTCTTCTACCTCACCCGACGACCCGAACGGCAGGTACCTCCATCCACAGACCATCCCGCATAGACCCAACATCTTGCGAGCCAACACTGGCGGCAGCAGCGATGACTTTAGGAGTGTCATCGACGACCTTACCGTCGAAAACAAAAAGCTGAAGAAGCGCCTCAAGAAGTATGAGAAGATGCACGACGCTCATCTTCAGGATGATAGACTCTTCGAGATTCGCATGCACGGCCTGCCCCCTCACAAGAAGAGGGAGCTGGAGGAGACACTGAAAAAGTTTGCCATGGCATTGGAGGAAGCGCCTGATAGGCCCGCCGAGCCATCCGAGCCTGCTCTGCCCCAATACTCGAAGCGTCCGCGTCTCCGGCAAGAAAAGACGCTGTCATCTTATGCATCGACGAACTTCGCTGACTCGGCATACATCTCTATGTCAGGCCGGAATTCAAATACACATTCTGGTAATCCGACATCGAATGCTGCCTCCGCTCAAAACTCAAACGCTACTCACGTTACTCAAAATGAGCGCCCGAAGCAGCAGGAGCAACAACAGCCATACAGTCGTCACGAGGAAAGCATTCATTCCTACCTACAGGACATTCCTGAGGGATTGATGCCTAAGACCGTCGCTATGACGGAAAATGCAAAGAAGCGATTGGTTGTCAAGCGAATGGAGCGGATCTTTGCCGGCAAGGGTCCTGCTGTAGGCGGACACCAACAGCCGATCCAGCAACAAGAAGTTGCGCAATCGGCTGCACGTGACGATCGTGTCGCTCAAGAGCAGGCCACCGGCCGACAATCCCGCAAGGAAGGTGTCAGAGAGGCCAGGATCATGTCCGGAAGAGGAGACAAGATGCCTCCAACAGACGAGTCGGACGAGGCAGAGGCCCTTCAGCATGTGAACCCAGAGGCCAAGGTTGAGGAGCAGGACTTTGCATCCCACCAATCACCTGGTCACGACTCCCCCGATCAGCGCCCAACAAGACCGCTCGACCTGGACCCCCACAGAGCCCAAGTGCCGGTGGATAACATGAATTATATCCGGCACTTGGGTTTCTCTCCACCCGACGGTGACTTGGCTCAGCAGCCGGAAGAGGGGCACGGTTGGATCTATCTCAACTTGCTAATTAACATGGCCCAACTGCACACGATCAACGTCACCACCGAATTTGTAAAGAAATCGCTTTTGGAGTACAGTTCCAAGTTCGAGTTGTCTAGCGATGGTCGTAAGGTCCGATGGAAAGGCGGCAACGACGTTTCGCTGGACAGCAGCGACAGCTCACCTGATCATGAGGGCATGGAGCTCGCCAGTAGGCGCATGAAACGAATGGGTAAGAAGCGTCAGAAACTCGGATCAGGCAGTACCGAGCACTCCAGCGAGATGACTGGCCAATCATCCGACATGAACACGCGACGCAGCAAGAAATCAAATGGGTTCGCGTACACGCCCTTGTTCTACCACAAGGAGTCCTCGGACAGTTACGACGCGTCCAATGCAGATGGTACTGATGAATACGCTTCGCCGTGGCCTGCGCATGCCACGGGCGCTTCTTCAGGCCCTGCTAGCTCGGGCAACCGCACCTCTGCAAGGAAGCAGAAGAATGATGATGGCCCGATCATCTTCTACAGCAAGGCAAAGTTTTGCACCGATTTGAGTGGAGATCGCGGAGTGCTCAACCACGACCACATTGACCACCCAAGCTACGAAAAGCTTACAGAAATGCCCCTTGGAGGTCCTGATGAGATGTGTTTTGAGATGTTTTCGGACGGAGACGCCCGTCAGAGACCCTTGACCGAAACACCGGATTCGCCAGATGCCATGGACGTTGATAGCTCGAGCCCCCAGGACATTAAGCTTGATCTTTCCGACATGCCAGTACGGGCCGACGCGAAGGGCATCCCTCAGTGGATCGACTTTGAGGTTTCCGGCCTTGGTGGAATCCTCCCTGATGATAACTTCACGGTTGAGGTTGTGCGCAGGCAAGTTCCAGTATCAGCACCAGAATCGACACCCGGGGCGGTGCACGCCCGAGCGAAGGCATACCCCAATCGTCTATCATCAATCCTAAACGGCCAAGAAGCACGGATGACGAAATCCCTGACCCCAGCGATCGACCAGGCGATCGTCTCCGCGCACCACAAGTCGCTGCCCCCATCCGAGCTCCCGCCCCCATCCATGATGCCTTACGACCCTAATGGTGATGATGACGATTCCGACACCGCTAGCAACACTTCAACCACCGAAGACGAGCACAGCGGCGCCGTGTCTAGCACACTTCCGCAAGCCGCGCCGCGCCTCATTGACCTGGACACCGCGTCCCAAGAGACCGAAACCGGGGGATCCGAAGAAGACGATGAGGCGTCACCCATTGACGAGGACGACGCGTCGGTCGATTTCCTGGAAGCGGCGCGCAAAATTGATCCTGAGGCTATTCGCATCCAAGAGCGCGACTACGACGCCAGCGTCGCGGAGCGCTTAGCTGAGGATATCCCTGCGGGCAGCTCGGCGGCAACGGCGGGCGGCGGCAGCGGGTTTAATAGCCCGATCAGTGGAGCGCATGGCTCGGTGCAGAGCTTAAAGAGGGCGCGGACGAGTGATAGCTTGCTTGTTAATGGGAAGGCGCCAAGGTGTGAGTGAGTAATGTGCACGATAGTGGAGGGAGTTAGGCGTGTGTGTCTATGATCTGCATACACGGAGTTTTTTGGGATGGGATGGCAGTTCTTTTTTTTTCGTGGAGGCTCAGGAGCCTCTCCTCTTTTTATGGCTTTGTTTCATGGAGCATTTTGGATTTGACCTCTTGGGATTGACTAAGGTCTACTCTATATACCCACCCGTTCTTCAATGACGATGGAATTGAATTGTTCTAAGTTTGTATTTGCATTTTTAGCAATCCAATGCATGTGCGCCATGATTGTTACTGTGTAGTACACCTATTGCTAACTAATCCCTTCTCAATCTCCGCCATCTTGCACTTATACCTGCCGTTCCTGACCTTCCCCGCCCTCCCTAAACACTGCCCATACACTCCCAGGCTTCTTCTTATCCTCGAATAGCTTGCGCTTCCTGATCCACGGATTGCACACGTTCTTCTTATGGTGCGGCGTCAAACTCTTGTTCTTCTCGATCGTGCACCGATACGCGTAGCTGATCGCGACCGGCTGCCGGGTGACAGAACGCTGCACCTTCCACTTTCCCACTCAGTACATACAGCTACCACACCACGACGCTTTTCATATTTCCTATTTAAGACAAGTCCTACGACCAAGACCGAATATAGCAAATCCGGCTCTTCCTCCCCCTGGATAAGTTCACATAGTCTACTACAGTACTCATCGGCATTCAAACGAAGAAGTTCAAGGAACCGCACGGACCAGGTGCGCCTTTCGGCGGTGACGACTTCCCGCGCGTGCTCAAGGCAACTCCACGTTCCCCCACTTCAACAACGTGGTCGAGGCTGCAGTAGTACACTCCACCGGACCTGCAGCAGGATCGCCGACAACGTCAAGACCTACGCTGTCTGCTCGTCTCTACAATGAATGTACGCCGCCCCCGGAAATATCCCACTCGACAGGTCGGGCACTGATATCGGATGCAGATTGTCGAATGGGCCTTTGGCAAGCGCATGACGCCGCAGGAGCGTCTGCGCAAGCACCAACGAGCGCTCGAGAAGACGCAAAGAGAACTCGACCGCGAGCGCGTTAAGCTGGAAAACCAAGAGAAGAAGCTGGTGCAAGACATCAAGAAGAGCGCCAAAAATGGCCAGATGGGCCCTCTGCGCATCCAGGCGAAGGATCTTGTGAGGACGAGGAGGTACTTGTCGCCCGCGCTTCGCAGTGTCTTCTACGGCTAATCGTTTGCGTGCAGGTACATTCAAAAGTTCTACCAGATGCGCACTCAGCTTCAAGCCATTTCTTTACGGATACAGGTACATTTAGCTACCCCATACTTTCGCATACTGTCACGCAGAGGCTAATCGGAGATCCAGACTGTCCGAAGCAACGAACAAATGATGCAGAGCATGAAGGGAGCAACGGCTCTTTTGGGCAGCATGAACCGGCAGATGAACCTTCCCGCATTACAACGAATCGCCATGGAATTCGAGAAGGAGAACGACATAATGGACCAGAGGCAAGAGATGATGGACGATGCTATCGACGATGTCACTGGGCTTGAGGATGAAGAAGAGGGCGAAGAGGTCGTGAACCAGGTCCTGGACGAGATAGGTGTCGACCTTGGCCAAGCGGTATGTACAGGGTTTCGGAGGCTCCTTGCCCTCGCCATGATGCTGACTATGCCATACAGCTTGGCGAGACGCCCTCGGGCCTACAGAAGACGGGTGTTGCTGAGGATAGGGTGGCGCAGGCCGTTGGAGGCGGCGATCCGGACGACGACGACTTGCAGGCAAGACTGGATAGCCTTCGACGCTAACCCCCGGACGGATTCCTTTGATGCTACGGGTAAAACGAGGATTATCGGCGTTGCAGCAGAAGCGATCAGGCGTTTGGAGCGATGACATGATGGGAAGGATAGTTAGACGTCTGCGATACCAAATTACACGATGAACACCTTGTTAGTTTTAACGTCCGTCATTGCGAACCGAGATCCATCGTATACCTAGCGAGACAGGGGACGATACAAGCAATCCCTACAGAGCACTTCTTGCTCAGCTCCTAGCCCGAGTTCTAGGCGTAGATGAAGAGGCCTTGGAGTATATATAGACTCTACATATCTTAGCTGGGGATATTCTTCTGCTCCGTATAAGTATTACTATATCGCTTGACGGTGACGGACGTTACGTGACAGGGAAATTCAGCATAATTGATTTAAAGTTCAAGGTGTTGGGGTGTGACTCTACTGCGAGCATTTTCCGTGGCGGAATGGACATGAAGCTCACTCATTCAGGATGGAGGATAATCCATCAACACCCCTAACCCCACAGCCAAACATGAATATCATTCCCCTCGCTCACCATATACTCACGTGAGGCTCGGGATCTTCACTCCGCGTTATTCTGCCGCCGCTCACGGACCAGGGCGGAGAGTGCACGAGCCCGAGCCATGCAGTCGTTGGCTGTAACGAGCGTGCGAGCATATTTGATGTAGGACCCCTGGACCCCTGAGGCGTGCGGTGGAGATCTCAGCCCGGGCTTGCGCGTCGATGCTGGGCGTAGAGTAGCAGGCAGTGGGATTGCACGTTTTCGGCGGGAGCATGTCTATTTGACGGGCGGAATGTCTCGAAAGCGTCGGAGGTTTGTCCAGTGGCGAAGTGCCCGTCGAGTAAGCGGAAGAACGTTCTGGCGAAACTGGAAACGGCGAGTGGACGGGGCGGGAGTCACACGCCCCACGTGACGCAAAGGCCTTGGGCCGCTTAATATCCTTGCGTTGTCTCCTCAACCTACCAAGACAACGTCCAATTCCCGAGCCATCCGCCGCACACCTAGCTCCTGTCTCTGAATCCAACCACCGCTTCATAAAGCACTCCTGCCGCACGCGAATCGCACTTCGTACATCCACTCAACCGTCCAACCCACCCACCAGAACCCCGCCTGCACAGCAACCGTGGCACAATCTCAAAATGGCGAAAAGTACGAATACATCATCTAGTAGTAGTAGTAATTACTCCGCCATGAAGGCGAGCTGCTACGCTGCCGACGCTCGCTCCATGGCGCTCCAAGGCTTTCATTACTCCACTACGGGGGCCGGCGGGGCGGAGTGGCGTTCCTGAGGTCAGCTCGGTACGTGGCTGCCCATACAGTAAATACGCATATGTACAACATGGCTGACGGTGCGAACAGGGAATGCCATCCCCTCCAGAAAGTCCCCCCCTCGCCGCCTACACGGTCAGTGACGAACTGACCCGCACGCCGAAGCGTGGTCTCGGCGTGGCGCGCAGAGGGGGGGCTGCATGCACCATTGCGGGAGAGAGTGAGAGACTCTTCTGCGAGACACTGCGGACTGTTTTCCTGGGTGAGAGGAACGCCGTCGGTCAGGACTCGCTTGCAATGGGCATGTACATGGACAACGACAACGACAACCATCACGTCAACGACCACTACCGAACCGAACACGACGCCGCTGCCGGCAAAAGGATTGAGAGCTCCTACGACAGCGGCATCTGCATGGCCTCGCCGCCCATCAGCGGTGGGGCAGTCGGCGCCCCCGAGCAGCTGTGCGGTACCGTCGCGCAGTGGATCGAGGTCTGGGACTACGTGGGCGGCGCGCGCTTCCGCGGCTTCGTGGCCGACGATGCGGAGCGCAAGGCCATGTTCGTCTTCTTCGACCCGGAGGCCGTCGTCCGCGACCTTAAGCCCGGCCTCATGGCCTTGATGGAACTCTGCAGCATGCCCGAGCTCGACTGCGAGAGCCTCAACGTCTGCTTGGACCGCGGGGCCGAGGAGGAGGACATGAAGGCCCTGATGAAGGACCTCGGCTGGATTGGTTTTGAGCCCATCACCCTGGCCGAGTGGACCGACAGGCCGCCCGTCCTCAGCGACCGCTGGCTTTTCCTTGGCATGGAAGTTTGAAGGACGATACGAGGAGTTTAAGTTGTTGATGGTCACTCAGATGCACGGAGTTGGGTTTTCTTTGCTTGCATTTCCTTTCTCCCTGCACATGTTTATCCAGTTCGTATTGCTTTAGCCGAGTGAGTGCCTTTATTGCGTTGCTACTTCTTGGGCGGAGCAAAACCGAATGGCCTTTGATTTGTTGCAATGCGGGGCTGCGTTACGGAGGCGTTGATTAGGCAAGACAATATCAGTTGTTGCACACAGATGACAGCATGGTCGACCAGTGTTGGGTGGACAGCATGCAGGCAGTCTTTTCGCCACCGGCTTGTGGTTGGTGGGGGCTAGATGGTTGGCTCGATTGGGCTGAATGGGCGGTGCTGCGTCGCACATGGGAGGCGTGCCGGTCATGAGGTCCAGTAGCTATCAGCCGCGTGCAAACCGCGAAGTATTATCTACGAGTAGAAGCCGTACATAGAGCCCAAAGTAACTCGACAATGAACCGGGCGTATATCCTGCACCGCACGTTTGAGCACGGCAGCAGCGCGGGCGGCTTTGACGTCGGCCGGCTGAACCGCGGTCATGCTGAGGAAGCTCCGACGGCGAGAGCTCCAGCGCCAGCGCCATCATCACCACCACCACCGCCATCTCCCCCATCCACCACAATCCACTCGCCATCCAACCTCGACCTCACTACCACAACCACTACTTCGACTGCCTTCGCCGCCCATTCCACCTCCTCGGCCGATCCAGTGGCAGCAGCCGCCCCACAGGACGACGACGCCGCCGCCAGCACACGCACAGCGCCTCCTCCTCCTCCGCCCGCAACCATGGCCGAGCAAGAAGCCACATCGCTGATCCAGCAGCTGCAGCAAGCACTGCGCAGCAACCCAGGGGGCGCCGCACCACTGCTATCGAAGACGAAACTCGCACTTCTGAAGCTGAACGCGCTGGTGCCGACGGCGACGACGCCGCCACAGCACCTGAGCCTGGCCCGCAGCGCGCTGGAGCTGGGCGCGCTCATCAGCATCAAGAACACGGACCCGGCGGCCTTTACGCGCTACTACCAGCAGCTGCAGCCCTTCTACGCGCTGCCGGAGCGGGCGCTGCCGCGCGCCGGCGGCAACGCCAGCAAGATCACGGGCCTGTACCTCTTGCTGCTGCTGAGCCAGGGCGACTACGCCGGCTTCCACACCCTGCTCGAGAGCTTGGAGGTCGCGAGCGCGGTTGCGGGCGTCCGTCTTGAGGATGATCCCTTCATTCAGTATCCGGTTCGCCTGGAGCAGGCGCTCATGGAGGGCAGCTACGATCGCGTCTGGGGCGAGACGAAGAGCGAGCGCGTGCCCGGCGACGAGTTTAGCGTCTTCTCGACGGTGAGTCGCCGCAATCCCATCAATGCCCTGGCTGAGCTGAGTTGAGCTGACACACCCTCTCCCCCCACACAGGTCCTCATCAACACGATCCGCTCCGAGATCGCGTCGTGCTCGGAAAAGGCGTACCACTCGATCCCCATCACGGACGCCAAGTCGCTGCTCTTCCTCGAGAGCGAGGGCGCCGTCATCGACTTTGCCCAGCAGCGCGGCTGGGCCGGCAAGGACGGCCGCATATACTTCCCCCAGCAGGAGCTGGAGGCCCAAGGCGCCGAAAAGGACGTCATGCAGCTGAGCGGCCAGGTCATCCAGAACACGCTGGGCTATGCTAGGGAGCTGGAGACGATTGTTTGAGGGGGTGCGCGGGCAGCAGTGTTGTGGGGAAAACGAGAGAGAGGGAGGAGAGAGGGGAGGATGGGCGGTTGCTGCTGTTGCTGTATGATTTCACGGGATAGTTTGGACCACACTCACACTGAGAGAATATCTTCCTCTTTTTTTTTCTTCTTTTATATTCCGCAGGCGATAACGACGACGACCACCACCACCACTACCACCAGAGCGGCAGCGCGGTGTTTCTCGGCGGGGTTTCCATGCATATCTATAGACAGACGCGGAGAACCGGCGGCCCGCGGGGGTGTGGGGAGGCGAGCAGCGAGCAGCGAGCCCGGTGAGAAGAAGAAAAGAAGATGCGTGCGCGCTGAAAGGGGCTAGTCAGAAGGGTTGTTGTTGTGTGTGTGTGTGTGTGTGTGTGTGTGAGACGACGTTCCCATGTCCGTCCTGCACATTTGTGTATGCATGCATTGTTGTCCATCCTTCCTTCCTTCCCTTCATCCATCCATCCATCCATTCGCCCATACCATCTATACTGTACACATATTTTCCCAGCCGCAGCAATCAGCCAGTCCCCCAACCAAAACGCCTCCCCCATCCCCCATCTCACAACACCACACACAGCTACGGCACAACAACAACGCCACAGCTCGCCGCCTGCGCCACGACGCTCTTACACAGCGCCTGCAACGCCACGCCCCTCAGCCGCGGCTCCTGCTGCTTAATCCGCGCTATCTCGTACACATGCTTGAGACTGACCGTGCCCACCGTGCCGACATGGCTATTCCCGCGCACCTCATTCCCTGCCTTCGCGCCCGCGCGCCCCGCGTTCCCCTCGGCGTTATTGCGCGGCCCAGGCACGTTGCCGGCGCCGCGCGCGCGGTTGTTCTTGCCGGGCTTGACGCCCGCGGCGGCGAGCAGGAGCGACGTCGTGGGCGGGGTGCGCAGCTCGAACGTGAAGGAGCGGTCTGGGCGGACGGTGACGCGCGCCGGGATGGGCGTGCCGACCGTGTAGTTTTGGGTGCGGGCGTTGAATTCCTTGCGCGCGCGGGTGGGTTAGGCTTGTTTGCTGCGTGTGGTGGTGGAGGCTTAGCTTACCTTGCAGAAATCCATGCTCTTCACGCCCTTGGAACCCAGGGCGGGACCGACGGGCGGCGAGGGCGAGGCCTGCCCCGCGCCGACGATGAGCTTGACGATCTGGTCCTTTGGCAGCGCCTTCTTGGCCATGGTTGCTGCTGTTGCTTGTCGCGCGACGGACTAGGTGGGTGCGTAGTCTTTCTTGTTGGTGTCGCGGGTGTTTGTTTGTGTTTATGGAGGTGGCGATTGCGGTCCAATTGGCCGGAGATACGTTCGAGTAAAGTAGTAGGTAAGTAGGTAGGTACTCGGCGGCGTCAAAATGTTCGGCGCGGCGTGCCAGCTGCGTCCCGGCGGGCGGTCAGCCGGCGGTCGGCGCTGCACTGGCTGTCGCTGTCGGCCGCCGGGGTGCAGTACCGGGTCGCGGTGTGCGCCTGCACTTTGCCTACCTAACCTGACCTTGCTTACTGCCCTCGACTTCCATCCAATCTCTTATGTCTCTTTCCTCGTTGATATATGATATATGCAGAGCCTCGTGGCAATTATTCGGTTTAGCTGTCTCACCCGTCCATGTGCCTTTCCGTTCCGTCTGCTCCAACGACGACGACTAACCTCCCAACGCCTCTTCCCTCCCTCCGTCCCTCCTTCCCTCCCTCTCAATTCTCCCTCAGCTCAGTCCCTCTCCCAACCGCGCAGCGAGCAACCCATCCACCCCTCCTCAGTCTCTACCTTATCCTACAGTGGCACCTTCGATGTAAGCTTTGAAAAGGAAAAAAAA